GGCTGCTGGGGTAGCGGGGTTGACTCTTCGTTCTGCGGTGCAGAATACCCAGCGTCATTAGATGGCTGTTGTGGTAGCGGAGTTGACTCTGGTTTCGGAGCAGGGTATCCGGCGTCAGCAGCTGGCTGTTGTGGCATCGGGGTTGACTCCTCGAACTGCGGTGCAGAATATCCGGCGTCAGCAGCTGGCTGTTGTGGCATCGGGGTTGACTCCTCGAACTGCGGTGCAGAATATCCGGCGTCAGCAGCTGGCTGTTGTGGCATCGGGGTTGACTCCTCGAACTGCGGTGCAGAATATCCGGCGTCAGCAGCTGGCTGTTGTGGCATCGGGGTTGACTCCTCGAACTGCGGTGCAGAATATCCGGCGTCAGCAGCTGGCTGTTGTGGCATCGGGGTTGACTCCTCGAACTGCGGTGCAGAATATCCGGCGTCAGCAGCTGGCTGTTGTGGCATCGGGGTTGACTCCTCGAACTGCGGTGCAGAATATCCGGCGTCAGCAGCTGGCTGTTGTGGCATCGGGGTTGACTCCTCGAACTGCGGTGCAGAATATCCGGCGTCAGCAGCTGGCTGTTGTGGCATCGGGGTTGACTCCTCGAACTGCGGTGCAGAATATCCGGCGTCAGCAGCTGGCTGTTGTGGCATCGGGGTTGACTCCTCGAACTGCGGTGCAGAATATCCGGCGTCAGCAGCTGGCTGTTGTGGCATCGGGGTTGACTCCTCGAACTGCGGTGCAGAATATCCGGCGTCAGCAGCTGGCTGTTGTGGCATCGGGGTTGACTCCTCGAACTGCGGTGCAGAATATCCGGCGTCAGCAGCTGGCTGTTGTGGCATCGGGGTTGACTCCTCGAACTGCGGTGCAGAATATCCGGCGTCAGCAGCTGGCTGTTGTGGCATCGGGGTTGACTCCTCGAACTGCGGTGCAGAATATCCGGCGTCAGCAGCTGGCTGTTGTGGCATCGGGGTTGACTCCTCGAACTGCGGTGCAGAATATCCGGCGTCAGCAGCTGGCTGTTGTGGCATCGGGGTTGACTCCTCGAACTGCGGTGCAGAATATCCGCCTTCAGGCACTTGCTCGTTAGTTTCCGTTGTCGGTTCTGACTGTGCTGTTGAGCATTCTTTCACTTTCGACGATTCAGCACAAGATCGATGCTCTCAAGAAACTGAGCCTTCGTCAGACGCCAACTGGTAGGCCTGGAACGAACTGAAGATTAGCACGTCGTCGGTGTGTTTCAAACGATATAAGGTTTACCTCCTTGCTTCGCAGCACAGGTAGTGAAAATCTGCTCAACAGCGCCACTTCAGACGGTCCCCTCGGTTACAGTTTCTGAAATTAGCCTGAAGCATAGCTCATACCATTCTGCTCCAATTGCACAGCTCTTTGAACTACCAGCTCTCCTGATCGTTACCTGCTCTGTAGCAAGGTACGTTTTCGGGGTACTCACATACGCGCTTCTGCTCGTCATAGAGCATATGAGACGGGCACAGCATCGATTTCGCCTCACCACCTCTACAAGCGATCACCTCTGATGAGCATCCATGAGCGTAGAAACCGTCCATCTTGCCCTCACAAAACGCCCTCACTGAAAAACAACCACGCGTCGGTATTTTCCTGCAAACATTTTAAACAATGAATACCTGTTTCAGATACTGCAGTTGTTGACTCGCTCTGCTCATTCTGCGCCGCACCCTGAAACAAAATATTTTAGGACACGCTTTTTGTTCGCAACCGCTGTTGGCTGTCCACTTCTTTCATACCTCTGGAGCCTGATATGCTGGATTGGCGGCTGCGTCCTGGCCCAAGTTTCCTGAAATGTCACTTAAAATTAAGAAAATACCAACTAAAACATTCAGAAACCGAGCGATATCTGGCTCACCAGAGGACTCGCCCGACGCTTCGTAACTTGTCGAAGCTTCGTGGGAGAGCCCTCCGGGGGCCTCATCGCCGTAACTGGAGTAGCCTTCATGAGTTCCGGAGGACTCCCACGAGGCTTTCGCAGATCCTTCGACATCATTTTCGCGGGATGGAGCGGACTGTCCACGGGAAGAGCCCCCATATTCACTAGTGCCACTGGGATGCGCTACACTCGGCTGCTCCGAAGTTTCATAGTTCCCTCGGGATGCGTCTCCCGAAGCTTCATAGTTCTCTTCTGATGTTCCGCCTGACGCTTCATAGTTCTCTACTGGTGCTTCGCCTGAAGCATCATAGCTTCCTCCTGATGGTTCGCCTGACGCTTCATAGCTCTCTCCTGATGCTTCAGCTGATGCTTCGTAGTTCTCCCCTGATGCTTCACCATAGTCCTCTGCTGATGCTTCGCCTGAGCTTTCTCCGGACAACTCTCTTGAAGGCTCTCTAGATGATGCGCCAGAACTCTCACCAGACTCCTGCTCATTGCAAGCGGCTACGGCGCCGGGGTAATCACAGAGCTGCCTTGACTCGTCGAATGCCAACTTTGCTGGACAGTGCATGGTTATTTGGCGACCTGAAATAAATGTGTTGTGAAATTCGCAACTCTCCAGAAAACTGTTAAGGTACATGCAAGATCCCACCGTTAGTGCAAGCGTAGAACGTATCGGAGCAATTTCCATAAGAGAAGTAACCGTCTTCAGCGCAGACACTCGGGCTTGCTGCAATGTCACGGAGTCCCTTCAGTACATTGGGGGCCCAATGAAAACTAGTAAGTCAAACCTGATCGAGCTTTCACCTGGTTGCGAACCAGATCCATCGGCGGCCCTGCACCCTTCGACATTGTCAGGATATTCACAGATCGTTAGTCTTAACAAAATATTAACAAATTCAGTCTGCAGAGTGAATCATCAAACAACGAAGGGTCGTTAAACACCCACTTCTGGTCGAATACAAGGTTCGCAGGACACGTCAAAATTCGAGACACTCCGCCAGAGCATGTGAGGAAGAATGACGAGCATGGCTCCTTCTCGAAGAAGCCATCAGCCATGCCCTCGCAATCTGAAGCTTAGCACTTCTCACACCTGAATGAAAACCACTATTATGGGTTACCATTTCTTGCGCTTGGACTCGATGTAGTGGTTGAGCTGGGTTCATCGGCGGCCCTGCATGCTGGCACTTCATCGGGAGAAACACAACTTTGCTGGGCGTTATCGAAGACTTGGCCTTTGGAACATTCGAGCAACCTAAACGGCATTATTCAACAAGTCTGACCACCTCGCTTTGGAAACGAACCATCACAGCAAGGCATCGCTCGTTTCCGATTCACGAGCCTTCTCCTATACCACTGCGCATGCAGCCGCCACACCCATGGCCAGTCGTAGCGTGAGCGTTAGGTACGGCACCATAATAAAGCAACCGTAGAAGGATCTAGGCTCTATACAAGTGGGGTGGGCACGCCCAGCTTTTCACGCATGTCAAGTGACTGCCCTCACCCCCACCCCCTAGATTGGCTACACTCCCCCTGGCTCACGAATTCCCCGATTCTCGTGACAGTATAGTAGCGGGCAGCAGTCCCACTTACATACATTTCTGTTCAAAAAATGCGGCGTGCCCACCCTACTTGTATAGCACCGGTTCTATTCAAAATGAATCAAAATTAAGGG